TTACCAAAAGGGAAAAGTATAGGAGGTGAAAGCTGAGGGCCAACAAGAGGAGGAGAGATGGCATATTCCATCAGGGATAAGTTAAACAGGAAGTACCTGAGGGGAGCAAAGTCAAGTCTGAAAGACTAGAAAAGTCCAGTGCGCCTTTCTGTGAAGGACCATTGATTTTTAGCGTTTTGTTTATTTCAATTTCCAGTCCATTGTATACTGATAGCAGCCACGTCGAGTAGCTGCTTGGACCATACCCAGCTTCCATGGAAACCTGATGATACACACTCTCAAACATGCCAGGAGTCTGACCAATGGGAAAAATCCACTGATCTGCATGCTTGATTACATGAGAAAGTTTCTACAAGCTCTCTTTCAATTTCTTTCCATATCTCATCATGGACTGGCCCTGGGGCACAGACCCACTTTGAGTTTCACTGGTGTAGACTAAGGTATGTGTGGGCTGAAGACTCCAATTTGGAAGTTAGCATTAAAGGTGGTGGTTGAAGCCGAGGACAGGGGTGTGATTGCAAGGGCACTGTTGAGAGTTGGGGGATGGACAACCACTGTCCAACCGTGTGAAAATGCCAACGTCTGAGGCATGGGTTCCAGCTTTTCCCATAAAGCATCAGACACATAGAGTCTGTCACAGCTACTCAACTCTGACCTTGTCATTGGAAAGCAGCTCTGCCAGGGTTTCCAAACCTCAGCGCTACAGAGAATTGGGGCCAAATAATGTTTTGCTATGGGGGGCTGTGCTTTGCATTGTAGTGTTTCTGACTTCTGTCCACAAAAATACTAGTAGCACCACCACCTCTAAAATATGTCTAGATACTGCCAAATGTCCAGGGGTGGGGAACAGGGTCACCTTCAACTGAACTGAAGATAATACATAAAAGAAGGAGCACTGGTGTGTTCCAATAAAGCTCTATTTACAAAAACAGGTGCAGGGCTGGATTTGACTCACCTGTCATAATTTGCAGACCCTTGATCCAAGGGATGGCCATAAGGAAAACTAAAAGTGCTTATTCAATAAGTTATAAGGGTCTCTTGTGTTCACAGCCCAAGAGGCGGCTCTGTAAGTGATCCAACATAAAGAGGAGATTGTTATCAAAGCAGCACTTCTTTTTTATACCACTTTTGCCTACCTTATTATGGTGCTTACTACCTACCAGAAGATACCAGATACAACATTGTAAAATCCGGGAACAGGAAAGAAAGCAAATATCAGCTCTCTAGGAGCCCTGAGAAAACCTCCAAGTAAGGCAATAATGAGCCTAGATTGCGTGAGGTGAGTTCGAGAATTCCTGCAGGAAGGAAGTGACTGAAGCGGGTCTTGGAGGATGTTATGAATAGTGGTTGATGGTAAGGAGGTGGGAGGACAATTCACGTAAGGAACACAGGGTTCTTGGTTTCAGAAAGTCAAGAGGGAAGTGAAGTGTCAATAGCAAGGGAAGGGAGCCATTGTCCCGATGAAAGCCTGTGGGTGTACAGGGCGCCCCGATGCACAGCCACGATGCACGTGTTTCCTCTGGGGAAAAAAGTGAATGGCACTTGACGGTTTTTTCTCAAAACAGGATATTTGTTTTTCTCCTCGAAACTCGGGGGGATTTTATTACCTCAAAATTTTAATATTTTGGTGTTTCTTTCACATGAAGTCAAATCCCGTTTGAGATTCTCTTTGACAAGGGCAAAAATAGTGAAAATTCCTAGTGAGTTGGGGAAACTGGTGTCTGGGACCATTTTACTCATTCTTAGTTAATGACAAGGTCAGATTATCTCCGACTCTTGTTGATGTTGAGATCATAGTGTATCATTTCCCCTTAGTGCTTCTGGACTGCAGGACAGATGGCCTGGAACAGCCATTCCCGTTCTCAACCCATTTCCTTGGAGGACCTCATGTTAGTTTTCGAGTCAGCGGCGGTTAAAAGCACAGACTGCGGAGTTCAGCCATGACTGAAATCCTAGCTGCTCCATGTTTTTGCTGATGGGCCTAAGACACAGCTCTGATCTAGCCCTGGTTCCTAAGAAGTATGTTCTAATACTCACCTGCCTGGCCCACAGCATGTGCTTAAGCCATTGCTGTTCATATATGTACAGTCTCAGAGGACTCAGCATTTCAAATGTTATACTTTTTTGCAGACTCGGACAGGGGAATGGTTCCTAAGCACAAAGCAACTATCTCTCATCATGGAAGGTCTAGCAGGGCTTAGGGATTTAAATAACACTTCTTAATTATTTCACTGTGTGCCATGTGTTGTGGGAGAGAAAAAGAAATGAATTAAGACCCAGTCACGCTCACAGTAAAACTCTCAGCCTAGTCAAAAGGAATATTCATTCATGCATTCAACAAATATTTGTGTACAGATATTTATGTACAAATAGCACAGAGGAGTTTGCAGTGGAAGTGGGTAGAGTACGCACTGGCCACTGGCAAGCTCCAAATATACCCAGTGCTGGTGTGATGCAGAGAAGCCAAGCTTCAGTCCATCCAATGACTGTGGATGACTGTCAAGGGCCCTAGCAGGATGGGAGGGTAGCATGGAAATCCCTATCTGTCCCCTCATCCCATTAGGGAAATAGTCAAGGTAGTCAAGGGACCTAACACAGAGGATGTGCCATGAAGACAGGATGAAGAGAACCATGCCTTATGTAGTATGAGTGAAATGATCATAGTCTGAATTTCTGGACACTTGTCAAACCTGTTTGGAACATTTGATATTCCTATTTCTAGAGCTTTCATAGAGTAATTGCTGACTTTAATATTAGTGGTTTGGGGTTTTGTTTTGTTTTGTTTTTGGTGAGCAGCTTTACCAGTTATTTAACTTGAGCTGAGTCTACAGATTCGAGCCAGTTCCTGGCTGAACATTGCTGACAACTTAAGGGTGAGGTTCTCAACCTGTATTGATTTTGTCCTTGCTGCTTCACAAACCAGCTCAGATCCATTCGTTCTAGAAGCATGGAAGCAACTGATGGGAATCATCCCATTTGATTCATATCCACCAGCTCGAGCGTCTGCCTTGGTCCTTGTGACCAGCCCTGAGGCTGAGTCCCCTGTAAAACTAGCCATGATAAATGAGCCAGGCCCTTCCCTTGTCTCGTTATAACTGCCAGGGATCCAGGTCCGCCTCAAGTCCTCCCCAATAACTCATTTTAATAGGGAGAAAGGGCGTAATGGCCTCTCTTCAAAAGTGCAGGGTCAGTACTTTGAGGTGGATGTTCTGTCTTCCAATTTTGCTTCTAAAAACCCTTTCAAATAGTACAATTAGATCCTATAAACGTGAGGAGTGTATGCACATTAGCCGTGAGTCTCCCATATGGTACTTGTGGGTCTCTGTATAATCGGGGTTGTAAAAGAAAAATAAATACAAGCTGTAGCTGAATCATAAAGGAGAAGTCCATTTATAAATAATTGAGGGTTGAGATGTAGCATAGACTTTCTTAGTGGGTCTATAAAATGCTGTCTGCTCAGTCTGGCTATAAGTTCATTTGCTGGGAACTGAGCTAATGGCATCTTACAGCCTTGCAGCATATAGCCATGTCCTCAGTTCAGATAATATGGGGAGAGGAAAAAAAATCTAAAAATAGAAAAGGCATCTTCTTATCTTTTTGTGGGTGGAGTAAAACAGACTAAAAATATGGAAAGCATCCCTCCAGGATGCCATTTACCAGGGTATTCTCTGGTTACATTTACTTGTCTTAGGTTTTGTTGAATCTCTGATAGCATCCTTTTTTTTCTCCTCCAATTTTAAAATTCTTTGGTCCAAGGAAATACTCCTAAAGAGGCCCTCATTGTAATGATACTTTAGTATTTCTGATACGGGAGGTTGTCATCCCTATATTAGTAATAACTGCCGTCTTCAAATGGAAAGCCTTCCAGGAAGTCTGTGAGTGCTTTTTTTATAGGTGAGTGTGAAGTGGGGTCATAAGGAAGTGAGCAGTGATGGTTTTCCCTGTAGGAGACTCAGAATGAACAGGGACGAGACCCCACCCACTGGGCACATCCCGGAGGCTCAAAGTCAAGGCTGCTGCTGTGACAGCCTCAGCACATGCTCAGTACACCGCCCCTCCCACCATGGCCATCCATTCCATCTTTCCAGAACCCTGGGTTCTGCCTTAGAGGATCCAAAATCTGTTTCCCTTTAGCTTCTGCCTTTGTATCCCTAGGGCCTCTCGTAACAAGTTAATCCCTTTTCCATTACAGTTAAATGAATCCTTCAGATCCCTAAGGATTCCTTTTCCCTCTGTATTTGAGTTTTCTTCAAGCTGCCCCACTCTACCTTCTCACGTGTCCTGAGTCCTGTCATCTTCCGATTGGACTCCTGGGAACATGCGGGAACATATTCCAAGTCACCTTTATCCCTTTCAAGGTGGAGCCCAGGGTGAAATACACCTTTCCAGGGCTTATCAGGGCATTGTCTCCCTTGTGTTTCCCTGTGTTGGCAGTGGAGAGAAGTACCCCAAAGACAGTGGTGGGTGGGGAAGGAGTAGCAGGTTCTTGGCTGAGTTAACATCCTTCCCTGGGACTGTGGATTCAGGCACGAATGAGGAATAACTGAGCATTTTTGTTTGGGGCCCAGATGGTGCAGCATCTAGGAGCTGGGAGGAAGGGCCTGCTGATTCTACACTGAGACAAAGCAAAAAGAGCAGAGGCTGGGGGGTCCTTCACAGATGTGACAACAAGCAAGAAAGAGGAAGTCCAGCACAGACTCACTTCCTGCAAGTCGAAAAAAGGAAAAGGCCCACAGGTCCCTCAGGACAGACACACATACATACACACACACACATATACACACACAGACACACACCTCACCCCCACCTGCCCTGTTTCATGCATTTGTGTTTTAGATTAACAACCTATTGTTCAGGATGCAAGAATTTTTTTACCCTCTCTCTCCCCTAAGAATTAATCTAAAAACAATTAGCAGACAAACCACACATTCCTTTCTTAAAATAAATGGAATTTAAAAAAATCTCAACCCCTTTGTTCTTTTCAGAGCCCTGTGACTTACCAGTACTGCCAGCTCTGGTCATCTAGGGAGTGATTTTTCAGGGTGTAACTTTCATAACCCTTTGTTTTTCTCCCACCTCCTGTTTTAGTCTTCATAGCATCATTCTCTTTACCTAAAAGATGATAAGGACATGAAGTAAAAGGGGGCCACTTCAGTTTTCTTTCTTCATAGAATTATTATTGCTGTGTTGATTTCTCTTATTAACACTGTCACCTATGCTTAAGTCAGTCACATGTGAGAGACTGGAATTGTTTAGCCTGGTATCGGAATGACCACCTGACACTCTGCCTTTCTTATCAAAACCATGTCTTCAACTTCCTCTTGAGTCCTTTTGTGTCTTGGAACCCTTAAGCTTCTCAAATTCCTGAGAGTGGGGACCTGTGCCCTTGCAGCTGGACTCCATGCCCACCCATCCCCACCCATCTGCCAGACACCCTCTCTAACCTTGACAGAGGCTGACAGGCGACCGACTGGAGAGTTGAAACCTTTTGTTGGCATATCTATCCTCTCCAGTGCCCAGGAGCTGGAACCTTTGATTTCAGAGGAATCTAATTTCCCAGATGAATATTATGTCAAGTGTCATTTGGGGACGGTGGGTAGAGGAGCAAACAGTGATCCAAAAACTCCCGGAGAAAGGGATTAGTAATCTTGGAGGGTTCAGATTTCAGGGTCAAGGGGAGAGTTTTGAGAAAGGTCTACACATAGGATGTTGGTTTCTCTCTCACTTTCTTTCTTTCCTTCCTTTCTCCCTCTAGTCCTTCATCCCTTCCTCCCTTCCTTTCTTTCAGAGACAGTGGGAGTGGTGGAATGATAGCAATGCAGAAAAGCTGGCCAGCGGGAGAACCCTGAATGTGGAGAGTTAGTGATGGCGGTAGAGTTCTGATGCTTTTCATTTGGCTCATGAAACGCCCAGGAGGCCTCCCTCTCCAGCTCTAGTCAGGTCTGTGAGCCCTTCTGGTTCAGCTCTTCTTCTCCTCTTCTCACACTTTGTCCTCTTGGGTGTCCCCCTGACTCAGGCTTTCCCTCTGATTCATCCCTCGCTCTGTCTGTTGCCACGTGGGTCAACCTACATCCTCCTGGAGCCCAAGTCTCCTTTTCAGAAATGGAGAGGAGGGACAGGATTTTGTGTTGTTCCACCATAAGAAGCTGTCCATCTGTGTGGCCACCACCTCTCAAGACAAGGAGCTATACCCCTGAGCCCCAGCACCTCCACCTTCCCGTGCTGCCTTCCATGTAGATACCCGGCACCCACCCTTTCCCCAGTGTCCTGGGTCTCTTTCCTCTTCTCGTTTCCTTCTGATGAAAACCCTTCTCTTCTAAGACCTCTTCCATTCTGCAAATATGGACTGGGGCACCTCTTAGTGAAGCTCTAATTAACGCAGAAAGGTGTGCTCTGTCCCATTGACAAGATGAGGCTCAGCTTTCTGGTGAGGTCTTTGTAGATCCATGCACTTCCCCTGCAGACTTTGGCTTTTGAGCCCTCTTTCCCATAGTCGTGTTTGCATTACAATCAGTAACTTATAGGTTGGGTAGACTTTTCAGGACCTGTGTATAAAATTGTGCCTGCAGGAAAGTGCAGTCTGAGCCCAAAACAACCCTCTACTTTTTTTGTTGTTGTTGTTTTAAATAGCTCATTCACTTGTGTGGTTCAAAAATCCCAAATCTTGAAAGGATATACAGTGAAAAGTTTCTCTTCTACCCTTATCCCCTTCCATCTACTTTCTCTCCCTGTGGGCACTCACCATTATTCCCTGTGTGTGCTTCCAGAAAAAGCTTATTGACATACAAGCCAGGACAGATGTTACTTGCACACTTTGACACTAATCTTTTTTTTACTTTGAAGACACACATCTTTGAAGCTCTTTCTATATCAACATATCAGGAGCTGCTTTGTCCTTTTGTAGACCATGTAATACTTATTTGTATGGATGTACCTTAACTTGTAGAATTAATCCTTTAAAGGTGGACAATTAAGTTGTTTCCAACTCTTTTTTTCTTTTCTTTAATTTTGTCTACACAGTGTGGCTCGTGGGGTCTTCGTTCCCCAACCAGCAGTTGAACCCAGGCCTTTGTCAGGGAAAGCTCTGTGCGCTAATCACTGGACCATCAGGAAATTCGCAGTTGTTTATAACTCTTGACTGCTATAAACTATGCTGGAGTGACAGCTTTGTATAATATTATTTCCTTATTTCCCATATACATAAATTGGATAAACCTATATAAGTGGAATTCTGGGGTCAAAGGCATGTGTTATGTAGCTTTCATAGATAACTGACTTCCGCTGGGGTTGGACCAGTGTATGCTTCCCTTCTCTTATTAGCCCAGCGTGTTATTGCATGTTATATCTTAAACAGGTTTTGGAAGGCACCCCCTTTATCATTTGGAATTCAATCACTGACAATTCCCAGGGAGCATGCTCCTTAAATGTCAAGACCTCTATGTCTGGAATTCAAGCCTAGACACTTGGCTTAGTGCTTGGGAGCCATGCCACCTGGCAAAACCTGTGCCTCAGTGCTTTGTCAGTAAAATGGGAATTTAACACGGGTTCTTGTCAGTGACCTAGAACACATCAAAGGCTGGAGCAGTGCCTGGCACAGTGAGACGCTCTCAAACATTTCCTGTCATAGAAGTGTTGGTGGTTCCCAGGAGACACACACATACCGTCTCCAGGACCAGATACTTTGTTCCCTATGAAGACACTGCCTTGTCATTGCCTACTTTAGTGAGTGCAGAGAAGATGCTGAGCAGTCGGCCTGAAGCATGGATGTCCACTGACTGATAAGCCAAGGAGCCCAGGAACATTGAGAAAGGAGGGGAGCAAGCGGTCAGGACAGAGTCATGATATTGGAGGGTCTCTCCTGGGATCAAGCATGGTTGCCTCTGCGCTAGAAGAGGAAAGATAACAGATACAACAGGCAGATGGGTTTGAGTGCTCAGATATTTCCCCACAAACATAAACTCATCTAAAGCTATAAAACTGACATTTTTGCACCAAATTTCTTTCTTTTTTTCACCCAAACTTTCAGTGAACTGGGGGGCTCCTCACCCTGGCACACAGTAGAAATTCAATACCAATTATTCTTTGCAAAGTCCTACCAGCCTCCAGCCCTGTCATGCAGTAAAACTGATGTAAATATTTGTAGAAAGAAAGAAAAGCGCCTTTTAAGGTATCTCCTCTCTTTTCCCACTCTGAAGAATCTACTGCCTGCAGCTTATCTAGCCTCTACTCACCAACTCTTTTCTTACTTTTTCCTCTGTTTTTTGGTTCTTTTCTCCCATCTTTGCATGCAGTCCACTAACAGAAAATCCAGCTTCTACCAGACCAGGCAAGCCTCTGCCAAAGGGCCTGCAGTGCCCGTGGCCATGGCCATAGCCCAACAGGGACTGAGGCCTGGGTGTTCCTCCCTCCGCCCCGCAGGTACAGCGGGAGTAGGCTTTACCTTTTCTCACGTTTGCCCCCAACATCCCCAGTCTCTGTACAGGTAAAGGGTGGATGTGAGTGATTCAGTCAGAGTGACCGAGAAGCAGTCTGGCTGCATCTTCATGATATTTTTATTTTTCTAAAGAATCTGAAATGAATGCCATGCCTGTTCTGGCCTTGCATAATCCTGGCTCCACCAGCCGACCACACGCAGCCAGCCCTCGCCCTCGCATGCCCCGGAGTTGTGGTGGACACAGTGTATCTTTCCATGGCAGCTGCTCTCCTGGCTGTGTTGCTGAGGACACAGCTCCGGTGGGCAGCTGTTGTTCGGGGCTGCCCTCTGCCTTCTGCGGCCCCAGAGCCCCTGCTGCTTCTGCAGGTGCTCACTGCAGTGCCAGCCTCCTGGGATGGCAGGGGCTCTGGGCTGTTGTGCACTTAGAGGGGAAGGGTGTTCTGATGTTTTAGCAGGAAGACCCAGGGCTTCCCCTTTAGTTACTATTACAAGACCCAAATGAGAGTTGAAGCTATGACACAGACCCAGCAGCATGTCTTCCTGTGCTGGGGTTTGCCATTGACTTGCTTGGTATCAAGCATCTCTTTTCATAACATAGTATCTCCATGGCTTCCGAGTCTGAAGTGGGAAGGCAGAGCCGCCAGGCTCCTCCAGAGAGTGTAAGGTCTTTTCTGGCAGCTTCTAGGGTAGCCTGCTCTGGTGCAAACCCTCATGCCACCTCAGCCTCCTCCCTGCTCCCAAAGCCAGGGGTGGCGGTGGGGGTGGGGGGTGGGTCTCTCCAGCTCATTTCCCTGCCTTCTCAGGCCTGTGTGACTTCCCAGAGTCAGTTCTTACCTTGCCAGTGGGTACTGGAGCACAGTTCTCACCACCTGCCACAGGCAGATGAATTTAAAACTTGTGCTGAAAGGAAAGAAATATGGGGTATGGAACAGATGCAGACGGCCTCCAGCTGCTACAAAACAAATGTAGCTCCCCTCAAGCCACCAACTAACCCAACCCTTGGAGGATTATTTATTTGCTCTGTGGATAAGGGGAGAGCCCAGTGGAAGAAGTCACAGCAGAGCCATTTCAGGAATTCCCACAGTGGGGAGGGTTTTAGCTTCTCCAGGTCAGCTGATGTGACTAAAGATTTGAAGGGTTCTTTTCAAGAGATGAAGAGGTTCTCATCTGTAACATGAGAGCCCCCAAACCTTCTTGCAGCCCATCACTTCTAACTGTATTATACAGCATGGGCAGGGAGGGTGTGACAGTTTTCTACACATGTGGTGGTAGATTATAAATGTGGTGGCTTACAGCCCTACCCGTGTATCATCTCCCAGTGTCTGTGAGTCAGGAGTGCAGACAGAGCTTAGATGCATAGTCGCATCAGGCTGTAAACGAGGGGCTGGAGTTGTGGTCTGATTCAAAGCTCAACTGGGGAAAGATCCATTTCCAGGTTCCCTCAGCTTAATGGCAGAATTCAATTCCATATGCCCTCTCAGTATAGTGGCCTATTTTTTCAAAACCAATAAGGGAGTCTCCCTCCAGTGTGCTACGGTGGTGTCTTTTATAATATAACCATATCTCATTACCTTGCTTGGAATCAAGTCACAGGTTCTGCCTATTAATACAAAGGCATCAACACCAGGTGGCAACTCACTGGGGTTACTTGGAACCTTGCCTAATATAGGGAAAGGATACAAGCTTATCAGCAAATGTTTCAAAAGTACTCACAAGTGAAGACCACTTGTGAGTGATATAGGATCCCACTTTTTTCTTTGAAAAGAAACAGTTTTGTTCTTTCCCTTCCATTTCAGAATGCCTCCAAATCCTAAAATTTTTGCTAGCCCTGTTCTCTCTACCCCAAGTTGATTCCAGCTCCAACTTCCATGACTGTATGTTACTGAGCAAGGCTGTTGGGTTTTTGTTGTTGTTGTTGTTTTACTCCCAAATCTCAGTTTTCTCATCTGTAAGCATGCATTTTCACTGAGATTTTTTGGACACTAGCAACACTGTCACTTAGTAAATGATAGTTCCAGCTCCTTATGGGACTTCATTGTATTGCATTAATTTTATTTATATATAGAACACAATCAACAAGAAAATAGCCTTGCTGGTGTGAACATCAAAGCACAAGAGAAAATATATCTTAAATTCAGTTGTGTCTAAGGAGCTGCAGTCACTCTGGTCATGTGCTGACAGCAGTTCTTTGAGGAAAAGGACTTAAAGCTTAAAAATATCCAGAAAATTTGTGTCCGTTACCATGTTTAAAAAGTGCTGATATCATATGTTTGGATTTTTTAATCTTTCTCTCCCTTTTTTCTTTTTTTCTCCTGAAGTAAGGCTAAGATGAGTGGACCCTTGTTCGGATTAAAGTTTTTAATCCTACTTAATGGAGGGAAACATAATAAAGCTTGACTTCAAATGGGAACTGAAGCCCTCCATTATTTACAGGCTCTTGTGAAAAAGTCAGGCCCATGTGACCCGTGTGTGTGTTAGTCACTAAGTTGTATACGACTCTTTGTGACCCCCATGGACTGTAGGCCACCAAGCTTCTCTGTCCATGGAATTCTTCAGGCAACAATACTGGAGTGGGTAGCTGTTCCCTTCTCCAGGGGATCTTCCCAACCCAGGGATCGAACCCAGGTCTCCTAAATTGCTGGCAGATTCTTTACTATCTGAGCTACCAGGGAAGCCCAAGGGACCCTTGAAGGGGCAGCCAATTTTAACCTGCTTTGGTTTCTCTTCCAGGTTTCTCCCTGCTGTGAAAGAGGTTGGAGGATGTGAGTGGCTCTCCAGAAAGCCCTGCTTGGCTGTGCGTCCAGGAAGGCCTCTTAGCTTCCTTCTTGTTTCAGAGCCACTTCTGGAGCTATTTGAGAAAAATGATGTGACAGTACCTATCCAGAAGGATACTGGGAAACTTGTAACATCCGTGAAGAAAGTGGCCCTCTTTCCCTTTTGCAAAAATCAACATTCTCAAACTCCAAAATGCCAGCCAAAACCCCGATTTACCTGAAAGCTGCCAATAACAAGAAAGGAAAAAAATTTAAACTGAGGGACATCTTGTCTCCCGATATGATCAGTCCGCCCCTCGGAGACTTCCGCCACACCATTCACATCGGTAAGGAGGGCCAGCACGACGTCTTCGGAGACATTTCCTTTCTCCAAGGCAACTATGAGCTTCTACCCGGAAACCAGGAGAAAGCGCACATGGGCCAGTTCCCTGGGCATAACGAGTTCTTCCGGGCCAACAGCACCTCCGACTCCATGTTCACGGAAACGCCCTCGCCGGTGCTCAAGAACGCCATCTCTCTGCCGACCATCGGAGGGTCCCAAGCCCTCATGTTGCCCTTGTTGTCCCCGGTGACATTCAGCTCCAAGCAGGAGTCCTTTGGGCCAGGAAAGCTGCCCCGGCTTAGCTGTGAGCCGGTCATGGAGGAGAAGGCTCCAGAGAAAAGCAGTGTGTTGGAGAACGGGACGGCCCACCAGGGCGACGTCTCGTGGGGGTCGAGCGGGTCCGCGTCCCAGTCCAGCCGGGGGAGGGACAGCCACTCTTCCAGCCTCTCGGAACAGTACCCCGACTGGGCGGCGGAGGACATGTTGGACCCTCCCGCCCCTTGCGAGCTCATCAAGGAAAAGACTAAGTCGGAGGAGTCCCTCTCTGACCTCACGGGTTCCCTCCTGTCCCTGCAGCTTGATCTCGGGCCCTCCTTTCTGGATGAGGTGCTGAATGTCATGGATAAAAATAAGTAACGGGACACTGCCGGGCCCTTTGCCTTTGGTGTAAAAGATACCAAAAGACAGAATGGAAGAAAACTAACCACAAAGAGGAGAGCTTCACTGGCTATACTTGCTGTCATATGATGGGTTTCTAAAATAACCTTCCCACAAAATATTTTTTTACCTGGGATACCCTGTTTGCAAAAACAGTATAAAGGAAAAAAAATAAAAATTGTCCTGGCGAAAGAGAGGAAGTGAGTCAGAACCCATTTTCAGCGGGCCATGCTGATGTACAGCTCACATATTTTGTTGCCAGACACGTGAGAAATCTGGCTTGGCCAGGACTGGCATTACTTAGCTATGAAGGGCTGTGCCAGTCACATTAAGGACCTTTACAGGACTCGCATTTTCTGAACAAGAGGAAGTCAAAATTTATTTAACACCCACGCCTTTTTTTCTAGACTCTTTTCTATATTATGTGGTTTGGGCTCACCATAGCAAATTCTTCAGTGTTAAAACTTTTCTCTTGTTTCCACATTTGAACATTTTGGGTTTCGGGGATTTGCTTGTAGCTCTTATATATCCCTATATGTTATATCTGTATTGCGAAATTTTGACTGTCAGCTACATGTTGGTGAGACACAAGCGAAGTATTACTGTAACTAAGTTATTTTTAAAGTTAAAATATATTTTTATGTGCCTTTGGCTTTTTATTGCAAAGTCTACATTTTATAGATACTACATCAAATGTGGTCATTTGACTTTTTCCATTGGGTTCCATTGTAAGCTGTGTATGTGTATGTTTGGAAAGTGTACTCATACTTAGCTTTTTTTTTTTTTTTCTTCATCTATTATACTTTTCACAGCAGCCAACAGTGGATTGTAAAGTGTAAAGGCACAGGTTACTCACAATGCTTCTGCAGAGACTGTGGGCTATACCACCTAATGTTCTTTGGAAATATGGGTATTTTAGTGCAGTACATACTTGCATTACATAGGTACTTCATACAACACAATAAAGAGTAAATGTTAAAATCAGCTTGCTTGGTTATAGTACTAAACAAAAACATAAGACAAAGGTTATATTTTCTTGACATCCAGGACTAGAAAAAATTGCTTCTGTAAAGTGTACACAAGTCTTTAAATGAGGTAAGAGGTGTATTCCATTCACTCAGTAATTTTGATTATTTTGATTATTATCCAGAAACAAGGCCCTTCAATTTTAGGAAAACTGAACATGTGAGATGATTTTTCTTTCTTTTTTTTTTTTTAGGCAACACTGACGCCAACCTCTCAAAAAAATTCATTTCTGTGAATCTCCAACCTAAATTTAACATAGCAAACTCATGCAGGCCTAACCTTGTCCCTATCAGATGGATGTCTCCTTGCTGCGGGTACCATACAGACAAGATTAAGGAGGCCAAAAACAGGGCAGTAGAAAGCACTTGGCCCCCAAGGAGACAGAGATGCTCTGAGAATGTTGGTTAAGGAAACAGGAACAGGAAATGTACACATCAATTCCTGTCCTGTTGTCAACCACCCTTTTCCCCTCCAAGACAAACACTCACACACAAAAACTTTCATTTCTCCTTGAAATGTATCCCTGAAATGACTACTGCTTCTAAATACTTCAGTGATTCTCTCACCATGTCTGAAATTGTTGCAATTCTGTCATCTGGTTAGCTGAAATAATCTTTGAGTTAGAAGTGAAACACAGTAAAAGAGGCAACAAGCTCCCCTAGTGCACTGAGTTCTTGCCTTAATTTCCCTGCTGTCTTTCTACCTCACAATTTCCAGTGTTCTTTTTCTGCTAGAGCACACACACTCATGGTTCAAGTTCCACACAGAGACTTCCCAGCCTCTTCTAACTCTTAGGCATGAGCAAGAGTCCAGTATATCTCATCCTTTTTAAGCAGACTCTTTCAACACATCTTAACACATCTTTTTTACTGATCATATTCTCATTTTACTCTTCATCTGCAGATTAAACTGTTAGGTGAAATGACAAGGAACGTCTGTGTACTTCCTCTGCTCCCTCTGTGACGGGTAAAGAGGACAGCTCTGCAAGGGTTGGGTTCATGTATAGAATCTAAGCAATCATGCATCCGCTAGACTTTCTCTGAGCCCTTTCACATATGGTCCCTCCCGTTAGGTTAGATACCATTGAGATGGCAACAAACATACCCTGTAAGAAAGGAAACAGCCACATCCGGCTTTTGAACCATACTGTTGAGTCATTTCTCCTGTGGCGGCTCTTCTAATGCTCGGTTCCTTCTCTAGGGAGCAGGTGCAGGGCTGGTGGACATTTTCTCCTGCAAAAAGGCTCTTCCTCCTTGCACCTGCTGAGAGCTGAATTGATGTTCTCAGCCAGTGACCATTCTGCCACTTTTACCCTAATTTACCAAGATACACTTTATTTGCAGATCCAGGATGTGAGCCCCCGGTGACCCAACAACCAGAAAAAAAGACCATGCAGTTTGTACAGGGTAGAGACCCTTGGTGTTGTAGCAGTCAAGGTTCTTCCCTTTGAGTAGGTCTAACAAAGAACAAGACATTATTTGTACCTAAAATTACCTGCTGAAAAAGATAAAATATCAAGGTACTTAGGTCTTCACAAATGTAAAGTCATTAAGTATCACATTTCAGTGAGTCAGAGTCACAAACAAAAGACTAAATTGATTGAACATAAAAAAGAGTTTCCAGAGTCATGGTCTATTCCTTTTTTATGTCACTGAAAGTTACCATTTTTTCTCAAGTCTCTCCATGAAAACACTTGAAATCATGGTAAGGAGGAATTTCATGAGTCCCTGAGTTAACTTGATAAATATTTTGAAACAGAGAAAATAAAATTGTACTTTAGATGATGGTTCTGATCCTCTTAATGTGGCACTCGATGAGACTCAATTTTACTGCAAAATATATCAATACAGGAGAACAAGTCAACATGATGGTTTCTCTCCAATAAGAGTTTCTCCCTTGGAAAGTATGTTCCCAACCTAGTCCAAAATTTAACAGGTCTAGTAAAGAGAATTCTCAGACTTTAGGATGAGTATATCAGATAAATATGAGTGACCGAACTTGTTTTTTCTTACATAAGTCAGTCAGTCATATAAATAGGGTTACTGGGTGTTGCCCTGTGTCTCCACCCATATTTTTGTGTCAGATTCAGCAAAATAAAGTTTTTTGTTTCCAGATGCCAAGTGAAAAGCTACTGCTGACCCAGATGGGTAGCCTTCTGGTTCATTTGACTGTATGGGACTCAATAACATCATGCAACTCAAAACCATACTTGTATGTATTCAGCATGTTGGTTTTGAGAAAGCAATATGTTTATTTTCTAAAGCAGAGGGTTTCCCTTATAGGTTTTCAAGAAATGTTGTTTCATCTGACAATACCTGGAACATCACATGCTTTATTCTGGATACCATCTTATCCAGCCAGGCTTCCCTTCCTGAGAATGTTTAATTTTCACCTTATTCTTAGAGCAAGTGCTTATCAAAAAGTAGGCCTCAGCATCTAACTTGAGTTGTCAGGGAGTCATTATTCTGTGGTAAAGTGCTGCAAAGGAAGTTGTGAGGAAGAATGAGAAGTATGCTTATTTTATGAAGTGAGGTACAACACAGATCTGTTTTACAACTAATGTGCTGCATTTAATTATCTTCCATCTTTACTTCAGATACTCTGATAGAGAATTTACTTCCATTGGCTTTTAAAGGAGGTCAATAATCTTCATCCTTTGAAGGTTAGCCAAATTTCCTTTGTGGGAAGCAGATTGAAGCAGGTGATAGGTTTTAAAAATCTGCCCAAATCAAGACCGCTATGCAGAATAGAGTTAATATTTCACAGACTCATCACGAAGACAGAGATGTCTGCCATACATCAAAATTAGTGATGCTGAAAACGTGAAATGGGTATCATGCTCACCATTAAGCAATTATTGGAGAAAGTCATCAGGCATGTGTGTGCTTCATTGCCAAATCACTGGGAAAACAGAGCTTTGAGTTCTGGGGAGGGAAAGACCTGGGATGGCTCCATGGAAGAGCAGGACCCAAATGGGGCCTCAAGGAACTGGTGAGTTTTTTTTTTTTTTAGGGGGAGGGACATACTCAAGGAGGAAGATTTTGAGCAAATAAAAGGATCCACTACATCCTAGCAGAGTTTCTACTCAAAATGGATCAGAAAAGGGATTGACAGAAAATTCTCAGTTTCAGGGACTTCTCTGGCAGTCCAGTGGTTAAAAGCTTCGCACTTTCAATGCAAGGGGCAACGGTTCCATTCTTGATCAAGAAACTAAGATCCCACATGCTGTGCGGCAGAGTCAAAAATATATACATTTTTTAAAAAGTAAATTTAAAAATGTTCAGTTCCAGGCCTGAAAGGATTGGGTCCGAGCCTGGGAAGTCTTTCCCTGTGGACTAAGAAAAGACTGGAATCTGAGAGTGCTGAACAGGTGGTTCCCAGGGTTAGGAATCTGTGTATAATAAGCTACCATCTTGTGAAAATTCCTGCCAGCCTGCCTGTGCTGTAACCTGAAGGCAGGCAGACTACTGGGTATCAAGGAAAAGTCATTCATAATGAAAGCAGCGAGAGGGGCTACATTTCTCCTGAAACAGCACCATGTGAAACGAGTTCATGTTCTGGCACCTGGAATGAACACTCATGGGCAGCTCTCCCACCAGCAGCACTCCGGAGTTTCCTCTAGCCCCCTTTTCAACTCATTTCCCCAGGTCTTAGTTGTAATTTCTGATTGAGCAGCCCAGGGTTAAAGGAGAAAGCGCCTCAGAAAACAGAAAGGAAAGTCTAAGTATCAGCGAAGAGTCTAGGCTGAGGATAAAAACCAACTAAATGGAGTAGAGGTGAACAGACCCTTCCTGAGATGGTCTCCAACTCCTTCAAGCCCAGTCTCACAAAACTGAGGCCCAGAGAGACGAAAATCCAGACTTCCAGACTCCGGTTTCCTGTCTCAGGACCTGCATCTTCCCAGGGGTGACTTGTGGGCCGTGCACCTCTCAGCAAAGTCCAGATTCTCTCCT